AGTGATTTTGCCAATGCATGCTTGGCAACGCAATCATGTGTGAAATGCTCACAGAGACGATTACCCTGTCTGCAAATCGCGTTCGCACCAGGTTTATGGAGAGGAGAAAGTGCGAGAGGAGCAATCTGTGAAAACATATTAGCGCACGGCGAAGAGAGGATGTTTCTGTGATGTTGATTGGTGGGCGTTTTGAAGTGAATAGAGCGGCTCTTTCTTGATGAATGTTAGCAGAGTCCTGAATTCTGGCGAGCTGCTCTGGTAGATTCTCGGTTGTTTCAGCTGTAGTGTTCCCCGTCTATCATCTTGCTCAACCTTGAGCTCTTAGTCAATCATTTTTTTTTTGTATCTGTGTTTTTGTTTATTTAGTTGGGGCCATCCCAGTCTCATTACTTATTTCTTACTGTAATTTCGGTTTAAAAAAACAAACCCATTTCGCCAGTTGTTTTATTTTTTACTTTTTTTTTGGGGGGAGTATTTTAAACATCACCACGGTGCTGATTTACGCTGGAGAGTATCGGGGGGGGTGCATTTTTCTGTCCGGGCGCCAAATGACCGTTATTGTGTCGATGTGCTTCCTGTTCCTTAAACAACAATTTTACATTCTCCCGTACGATGGCAGTGCTAAGTTTCATATTTCTGTCGTTTTTTTAAAGTACTGTACTTGCGTATTTTGTAGCATCCGTTTTGAGTTGGCTATTTTGTTGTGTTTACTCTCTTCTTCCCGCTTTTATCTTACTTTCATAATTATTATATATATATATGTATATTATATCTACCCAGTTTACGAATAGCTCGAACAAACAAGCGTGTGGTTAGAGGTTCTACTTTATTACCATGTGATTCTGCTATACCCGTCCATGTCTCGGCTCTCCATTGACTGTAATAATACATGGCTCATTTTGACGTCCGTGTCGTTCCTTGTAATCTTCATTTCACCGTGAACTCTTCCTTGGGAAGTACATGTCACATAGGAAGCAATCGAAGCCAGAAGAATAATCTTGTCCTTCTCACGTCAGCAAACGACGGCTCATGAATGGCTTTGCTGATAAGAAGCTAAGAAGTTAGTATGAGTGGAGGAAAAAGAGGGGGCTGGGTGGTGAGAAGAGGTGTCTTTGCTAGCTTTTTCGGTCAGTAGCCTTGAACTTCACATAGTTAAACCTGATTGAAAATGTGGGAATAAAGTCATCTGTGTTTGGATAATTTTCGCTATCAGTAGAAAGCCCTGTCTAAAACAAAAATAACAAACTAGACAAATGGCTTCGAAGTTCTTGGAAACGCTAATTAATTTTGAAGTATAACAGTTTGTACTTGTTCTTTTTGGCAAATTAATTATGTCAACTGCTGTCAGTACTTGCATTCAACGCGCCTCTTCCCTATATTGGGTTGAAGAAAAAACATTGGAGTGGGGAAGAGGTTTTTAAAAATAAATTATAACTCTTTATCTTTTTTAAGGATTTTTTTTGGGG